CGCGCGTAACAGGATCTATATTCGGCACTAAATCACTCGCGACTGTGCACGGTCTTCCGTATGCTATGCTGCTGTGGGGGTGAGTATTTTTGTTGTTGTTGAGCCTCCGTTACTCACGTAATTCCTGTCCTTCTGCAGCATGGTGTATTTCATAATTGCGTTCTCGTACCAGGTCTTCACGTCCACGCCCATCATCACTCTCGCGACCACTGGGAGTGCATGTGGCATTGTGGCGCTTTTCACCCTGTGGCTCGTAAGCGCGGCGAGGGAATTCCATATTTTGCCGTGGTTGCAGGCGCATTTCAAAGAGAAATGTCGGATGCTTAATCGGACACGATTTGGGCCACAGCCTTGATAGTGACTCGGTCGAGTTACATTCCGAACAATCGTTCGGTGTATTATTAATATGCATATCAGACATCCCGAAATGCATTACTGCTACTTATGTTGTTAGACCTTATAATTGCACCTACATTTACACGATGATAGCGGTATTGATGATCCTGCCTGTGTTTATTCGACACTGTTGCTCGCGTCTACGATATTCCATGCCAAAATGGCCAAGGAACTTGGATAAGTATGTGCATATTGGCACAAACGATGCATGTCTCATTCATTCAACCCCGGAGACATTTTAACAACTATCGGAGTCGTATTTCGCCTGAAATGACATTCCCAAGAATGCGTACAGTACGTTAGCCAAAACTGGAGCAGAGGTAGAAAGAATCGAACATTAAATAAATCAGGGCGTCGTTCAGGAAGCACAACTCTGATGGTCGTCGAATGTGCCACGAACCGCCAAAGTCAACACATCAGGGGAGGGCTGGTAAAATTGGTCAAGATGGTAGTTATTCCATATCAGAAGATAGCCTGAGACTCTGGCATGTCGTTGAAGATGAGCAAGAATATTTCCTGTAGGAGATCTACTGAAAGTTGATGATGGATGGGAGTTCTGGATAGCTCAGGTTGACGGAGATGAGGTTGACGAGAGAAACAAGTGAATGAACGAAGGATAATATGAATGCATCGATCCCGTGCTTGAGCAGTTCCTGTCCTAGGGTAAGGGTAGCAGTGGGAAGTTGCGCTCATGACAGCGCCAGGGCCGCGTTCATAGGTTCAGTTGGGAGCGCCGGGAGGTCGTGGTCAGCAGCAGCAGGGATAGGGTTTGAGTGCACAGCACACGCGTATGGTCGAGGGCGAGTGGTATCAAGGCGATGGCAGACTCGGAGAAAGTGTGGGTGTAGTGTTCGAAAAGGTGGCTGTCATCTGCATGGTCGGCGATGAGATAGAAAGAAAAAGACGGAAGCTGCAAGAATATAATTGATATATTTCGCAATTTTAACGTAGCCGCCAACGTCCTTAAGTGGGGGTCTCCCTCCTTCCTACCGCTGTGGAGAGAGAGGCGGTCTACTAAGTAGTACCGAGTGCTACTGAGTGACTCCCTGAGAGCCGTGTCATTTTTAGAACCCATGCGTGCCAAATTATACTTACACAGCCACAACATCACTATGTAGATCCTAAACCTTGTACAGTTCGTTCTAACCTCGACACCTGGCCGAACCCCCAATACAACCCTTTTCATATCTTCTTTCTGTACGTATCAGTCAAATTTCTTTTGGCCGTTTCCACGGAGTCCACGTCTACCGCGAAAGAGAAGGGCGACACTTCTTTGATAATTCTACTGCCGCATTCTAGATTCAGTGCCATTGGAGTTGGCGGTAGTAACACTCGGATCATCACGGAAACGGGAGCTGCTGGACGACTCCAGTATTGACAGCAAGTATAGCCGGAATAAATGGGAGTGTACGACGAGAGGCACAGAGCGGCATAGTTTGTTCGGAGGCACTTTCGCCACATCCTTCGGGAAGTCCAGGCAGCCTCCGCCAAGGATCAGCTCGTACGCACCGAGCTTTTATATAGTTTGCTCAATCACTCACTTTGAAACAGGTCATTGATTAACAAAGAAAGTCCAATGGATAAATGTTCGAGTCTCAATCTTTCCCAGTTGTATAGCGGTAGTAAGTCTTTGGGTCGCCCATTAACGTTAGACGGATCGCTTTCCAGCACTCTTCACAATCCCTCGCGCAGCGATTCTCTTGATGAGAAGAGGAAGTCAAGAGAGAAGGAGAAGACGTTGGAGAAGTTGAAAGGCAAGGATGCGGATAGTCAAACACCGAAAGAGAAAAAGTCCCCGGAGGTACTGAAAAACCACGTTGCAGTGGTCCTAAGAGCCAGTCTCGAGGTCCTAGTACGTTCATGCCAGGAAAGAGTATCATTGACTGGATCGGCATCAAGGACGTGCGATACAATATTACAGCTTCTCAAAGTACTCAAGGTACGGGAAGACAAGAAGATGGTCATATTGAGATCTGTTGGCGCGGGGAGAATCCAGGCTGGCCCCTTCATGGCCCCCGATATAAACACTTGGAAGAAGAGATGAATTCATTTGGGCTGCTTATCACTCGAGATCGCAGACTCGATCTTCAATCATTCATTTGCGCTATAGATATTGTGATGACCCTCGTATGCATTTGGGTAATGGATATCTAGCGAATATCACATCCTGCGGATAACTACATTATGTACATGGAATAAATGAACTTTTCAAGGATCGTGGCATGTGTAAGGAATCAACATGACAACTCATACATGCAGGTCAGAGTTTGGATGACTCAGATGGAACCATATTGATGTATGCAGCTGATGCGATTAGTCGGTGTCGCGTTACATTCCATACCTGTTGAAGTCACATAAGCAGATGGCGCAACGAGAGCTTGCCAGAATCTCACTTCACAACGACCAGAGCGTGCCCGGCTACCAATGGCAAGTGTCGTGCTTACGATATGTAGTTTGTCGCCCCTGGCACAATGGTTCAGCAGGAATTAATCGATGTGCCATTTGAACGTACGGCACCGCTGGTGAGTGAAACACAATATTCAAAGACTGTTGTACACCGAATACGCCATAAGCGCCTGTTGAAGCTCTAAGGACGTAAATGGGCGTTGGCGAGCAGCTGCGCATCCATATTAGCTCCAGACAAAACATGAGTAGAAGAAACATGCAGTTCAATTATCATAGCCAAACAACCACCGTGCATGGTTCCACCTTCAAGTTCATTGGCCATGTCTAAGCCGGGCGCCACATGATACGTCAATGAGCAGAGCGTCTACCAGGAATCTAGGGCACCTTTATCGACGATCACCTCAAAGACGGTCCGTCCTTCGAGTTTTTCCGGCTCCTCTGCCTTAGACAATACAGATGCCTCTGCTAGTCGCATCCGGGACACGAATTCGGCTGCGAAACCTCTGAAGGGCCTGCCAGTCGAACGCAAGATGTCACGGGGGTTCAGCCGCACCATAGAGTTCAGCAATGTAAGTTTTGTCTCCGGAGAAGCATTCCCTTTCACTTGGGAAGTGTCGATATTGTTTTCTGGCTTCATCTGCATGAAAGAACCAAGTTACAAGCTGGGGTGTGTGAACTTGCCTGCTGAAAATTAACTTGGGGGCCGAGCTGTCGGTGCCAGCTGGCCTAACCCAGGGGCCGAGTAGCAATCACGATTGCATAAAAATGACCATCACATGGCAAGGACTCGAGACAAGTTAACATTCATTATCGTCCTTATCTTGCACGACTTCCACCAGAGTTCCAGAAGGTATGAAACTCGTGAAGTACGTACCAGGGTACCACAATGCTAAAAGCTCAATGTACGAAAGACTGGTTACTTGTGTTTTAAAATGACATACCTCAGTTTTCCGGTTCCCTCTCTTGCTGGTTGCGCCATACTACGGGCTCCTAAAGCATAGCATTGACTCTAATTGAAGACTGACTTCTTTAATTGTTTAATCCGTGCACAATTGTAAAGTGGACTTCGGCGATAGCACCAGCCAGCGTCATCGAGGAGCGGTAAAACACGGCGTATAGATATGATCTTGGAAGACAGCATGTTCGGAGACAGACGACAGGGTCAAACAATTAAGTTCTCTGGCATTATCAAAGCCTCATGAGATGGTATGTCAGATTGCCATACATTCAAGACTGTCTGGGGGTTACGTTCTCGTCAAGCCAAACTCGGATACCTGCGGGTACCTCCTCGTACCCATACCCGTGCAGGGGAGCCAATCACAGGTAGCCGTACCCGACCCACGATTCAAATATTCACCTGCGAGTGGTGCCTGGGTAAGCCTTACCTGTCATGGGTGACCCTAGATTGGACTTGAATATTGCCAAACATGGGGCGCCAGCTTGGGCAGAGAATAGGTGGGCGGAGGCACGATAAGGGAGAGACATGTTTAGGAAAAATAAAGCCTCCAGCTGGCTGCTTTTACGGTCATGCTTGTGGTGGATCTGTTGACACACAATGTATGTTCGAAATCCGAGTACATCTACTTACAGTGCTTTGCACGTGTTTGCATGTATTTAGTGGGTATAGGCATATGATGTACCCTCGGTGCTCTAGTGATAGCTTCTGCTTACCAGACAGATTATCTTCCCATCCCCGCATTATCTTCTCCTACATTAGCACCATGCACCATGCCACCTAGAGGCCCTACAACACCCATTCATGACAATGTCTTAGGTTCAGCCCCCTGTACCAGTGAGATCGCTGATAATCTCATTGATCCTGCCCTTTGAGATGGATATTTTATTTGTATACATTATTACTACTGACTTTCTGCTATTTTTCAGCTCCCCCCCCTTCTATCCCAATTGTCTTCGCACCCTCTCCACTTGCCACAGAAAATTCACCACCTAGCAGGAAGTCCATGTCCATCATCACACTTGCAACCACTGGGAGTCCATGCAGCATCGTAATGCTTTTCCTACTATGGTCTTAACTGCAGTGAGAGTTTTCCATCTTTTGAAGGAGTTGGTGTGGTGGCTCAAATTTTGGATTAGATGCCATTTCACACCTTGATAGGCTCAGTTACCTTTTGGTCTGTGTTTCGCTGTACCAAGTAGTCAAATTTGATCAAAGCATTGCAGAATGATGTCTACCAATTGGACAGTATATTGACTAACTCATAGAGGAGAATATATTGCATGAGGTCTGCTGTGGGAGGCCAGAACTAGTGTACATGGTACTGGTAAGTCCAGTATGTTGTGATATTACAATACAAAAGAAGTCTGCAGTTGACCCTACATTAGTTACTGTGCATCATGCTGTCTATTTGGTTGTACTGCAAATAAATTGTTGAATAAACCGGTTCAAGAATCAACAAGATCTGGACAGTGAATAAAATTCATTCCTGATCATGTCGTCAGCTCTCTCCATCAATGGATGGTCCCTTGGATCAGTTGACCAACATTGCTCGATGAACTGCCAATGCTTTTCAAGAAGCACAGGATAATGAGATTGGGAAGGCTTTTCTGACTTATGCATAGCCAAGATAACAGCAGGATCATTCAGGAGATAATAATAGGGAATCTTGTTTGTGAGGACCTAAAAGCAGAGCTTGTGACATCATCCAGAGGTCGAAATCACCCCAGACACACCTGCAGCATGATACTGCCAAAAGAAAAGATGTCACTCTGCTTGCTTGGCTGTGCTGGAGATCCATCCTCCCGCTCCAGTACAAGTAACTCGGGAGCCATCCATCGCACATTTCCTTTGAGATTCAAAGTCCAGGAAGCCTGAGAGGTGCTTATAACCTCCAAATACATCAAAGAAAGACCAAAGTCAGCAATGCAAGCAGTACCATCACCTTTGATGAGCACATTAGGCTGGAGGGGCCATCAGCAAAACCCTGATTTGGGTACAGTGCCACAGCCACACAGTGTGTCACAGGTCACATAGATTTTGTTGTAAAGGCTCTGCAGCACCACACAAGTATTGATTCTATGTAAAAATGAGTGTAATGTAGTCACAAACATGTATATAACAAGATGGTGTGCTAATAATTATGTTTTATTGAGAAATTGGGTAGTGTGCAGCACTGTACAGCACTGTACATGGGGGGACCTCACTGTGACACTGTGATTGCTGTGCAGCATTGTGCAGCACTGCACATAGGGTTAGGGTTTTGCTGATGATTGTCTCCAAGTCTGACTTGCTCATGTTTGACACATCTCTTGATCCACACTATGACTTTAGAGTTCGCCATATTTGTAACTCTTGCAGTTGTAGTTTTTTGTCATGCTACCTGCCATCCCTCTCTTATGTGTTGTTTAGTGTGTACACCCTGAAGGAGCATCATTTCCACCACATATGGTATTCATTATGATGTACCCTCAGTGTTCCATATATCACTAGTAATAAGGGTATTAATTTATGCTGACTTGTACATGCTGGAGGAACATTGGAGTGGAATGAACTTGTGTGGGCGAGTGACTTGTTCTTTTAGATTGCAGCTGAGCAGTGGCAATACCAAGCTCATTCAGACTCAAGGGGAGTTGGGTCATCTCCACCAGGTAGCCAAATATACAACTGATAGATAGGGGGGGTGCAAATGCATTGAGTATGCATTTGAAATACCTTTCAAAATTCAGTGAGTCTGTTGACAAGAGGCCAGGATTAACATACTTCAATATCAGGTAATTGGATTGTTGGAACCATTCACCAAGGATGTCGAAAAGTAAAGTTGTGCACCCAGTGTCAGTAAAGGTAAGTCTTTCACTGTGTGTATAGTCAGGGGAGTCTACATGTAATGGCATATCATGTCTCATGCTGTCTATCTGGTTGTACTGTCCACAAGAATGTTATATGCAAGGTATTCTAGAATTAACCAGAGTTGGAAAGCAAATCGAATTCATTCCTGATCACTGCATCAGCTCTCTTTGTCGATGGACGGTTCCGAGGATCAATAGACCAGCATCGTTCGATAAACTCCCAGTATTTTTCAGGGAGCACAAGATAACGAGACCGGGAAGGCTTTTCCAACCTCTGCATAGCCCAGATGATGGCAGCATCATTCCGAAGGTAATAATAGGGTGTCTTATTGGTGAGGACCTAAAGCGGAGATAATGACATCAACCAGAAGTAGGAATTACCCCAGACGCACCTGCAACATAATACCGCCGAATGAAAAGATGTCGCTCTGCTCGCTCGGCCGTCCTGGAGATCCATCCTCCATATCTGCTCCAAGTAGCTCAGGAGCCATCCATCGTACATTGCCCTTGAGGGTGGAAGTCCAGGAAGCCCGAGAGGCGCTTATGACCTCCGAATACATCAAGGAAAGACCGAAGTCAGCAACACAGGCAGTGCCATCACCATTGACGAGCACATTAGGCTGGAACTCACGTCTCAATCAAATTGGAACTATCGAGAAGTCGAACTTACCCCATTTAAGTCACCATGAATTACTCTGTTGGCATGGACTGCAAGGAATAATTATGACTCCAGGTCCAGCACTGAGAGTAAGTACCACGTACGATATCGCAGACCAGCTATGATATCCCTGAGCTGAGATTGCCATCAGTTTTTAGTCTACATGAAATACAAGGGAGGAATTACGATCTGGAATCTTCCAACGAGAGTAAGAGCCGCGCCCCCAAGCCCCAGATACTCCGACAGGTTACCATTCTCCGCCCAAGGACTGACTATCGCTAGGAATGGGCCGAAGCCATACGTATAACCATAAACGGGTAAAATATTTGGATGCTTGAGACTGGCGCATATCCTGAGTTCACGCTTTATTCTCTACAAAATGGCAACCCGTGAGTAAAAGATGCAGTCTTTTATCAAAAAACTCACTTTGATCTTTTTCGTCTTCGCTGCACCAAGTTGATCGGCAGCATAAACTTGCAATGCTTTCACCGCGACCTGCCCAATTATGAATTTTAGCTGATGGACAAACAACACCGCAAACGAACCTTGACCGATCCGCGATCAATGTGATAAGTACATTTCCAGACTTCCCCGAACCCGCCACGAGCGACAGGATACTCTCCGTCCTTTGTGATATATATTGAGAGGTCTTGGAATATTGTTTCAGCGAGATCACTAGGGTCATCATTACGAATGGGAAGGACTACGACGGTGTTGGAAGTCGAGGGAAGGAGCTCGCAGGGGTTGGGGGGTAAATGCTGCGGTCCTATTGTAGGAGAAGGTTCACACTGTGGTGATAGTGGGTCTATCTGTGGGTTATGATACACCGCAACAGGTTGAGCTGTTGCCTCAGACTGCAATAATAGCATTAATGGAGAGGTGTAAATGAACGAAGAAAAGTATCGCTGACGTTAAGTGCTAGATCAGTGAACAGTTGATTTGTAGGAGCACTGGTCTGGAACAAAATGTTAGGATGTTAAACGATAGTATGTGGGGTTAGCTGCGCACTTTATGTACTTGGGGTGGAAGCTGAATGCTAGTGCGGATGTCAGGAGGAGTGTTGCACAAGTAGATATTGGTGTTGTTTAGTGCTGTGTAAGCTAGTTGGCGCGAGTCGGGTGAGAGGATGATGGAGTAGGGAGATTGAACGTCGAATGAGGCGAGGAGCTGGCGAGACTCGAAGGCCCAGAGTCTGATAGTATCGTCATAGGAAGCACTAGCAAGGAGAGCACAATCGAAGGAAAGTGCTAGACCGTAGATGATTTTTGTGTGTCCTTCAAAGGGGACTCCAACAGTCTCCAGCGTAGATGCGTCGAACTCATAGATCATCTTTGCCACGGACTCGGAGTCATCCATAGTAAAGCTGAACACAGCTACGATGGTTTTATCGTTGGTAGTCCAGAATATTGGCGCGTATGATGTCTCCTGTACTGTATGAAAATTCCCCGCTTTGACATCCAATTTCTGTGATTGGATGTCCCATACTTCAAGGTATTTCCCCCGACACGATTTGACTGCGAGCTTCTTCGAGTCTTGCGATAACCGAACCGCGCCCACCCTGTTAATACACTTGAATGGACCAGCCACGAGTTTGCCGGTTTCCAAGCTCCATATCCGTGCTCTTTTATCGCTCGCCCCGCTCGCCAGTAGCGTGCTGTCCCCGGAGATATCGATGCAGTTGATCCTCCGTGAGTGACCTTCAAATATTCTCACGGTCCCCGTCTCAACCTCACGGACTTTGAGCTCCCTGCCCAATTTTCCACCTGCGGTGACAACCCACCGGCCATCCCTTGATACCCCTACTGCATGTATGTTCCGTTCGCAAACATCCCGTGCCTCCTTAATTTCTTTACCCGCTTCGAGGTCCCATTGACGAGTGGTCTTATCATAAGATCCACTGATCATTCGCTTGCCGTCTGGAAAGTAAGATACGGATGGAATAGCGTTTTTGTGACCCTTCAAGGTCAACACGTGTGTCAGAGTCAATCTCTTTGCTGTCGCAGCGGGCTGTCTTGATCTGGAATCCATGTCCTGTTGTTCAAACGCCGGCGAGGTTTAGATATGGGCGATGTTTTATTTGGAAGTCTGAAGTGTTCGAAGGACCGTCAGTGAGGTTTTCTCGTATGCTGGCCTGATGTTGGAAGAAAGTTATGTCGAAGGATGCCCAACTACTGGCAGCTGGTACACTTTGCCTACCAGTGCCGATCGTCAGTTCAGACTGTTTTAACGTCACCTAGAGGCTCGCAACTTGGAGGGAGGATTCATCTGATTTAATGTGCGTGCGTCTAGCAGCCTCTTCTTATATGTACTCGCTATTTCACCCCTTCGGCATCGCATCAGCGCATCACACAGCATTTCGAACCTTATAATAGTGACTACTACCTTGCTTTTCGTTATTAATTAGCGCTCAACCATGATTAGATTATCTCGGACAAATAGAAGCATACTGCAGTGCGCCCTATACCTTTGGAGTTGACATTGGTGAGATCGTAGCAACTCTTGCGCTGAGTGCATTCCCGCCAGAAGCACGAGGGGCTTTGGATGCAGCCGTCGTGGCGCAGGTATCCATTGCTGACTTGTTCATATTCTCTTGATCCGCACCACGACTTCAGATCTTAGAGCTCGCCATATCAGTAGTTCGCAGTTGTAATTTTTGTCGCGCTACACACACCCTGAAGGAGCGTTACTTCCATGGCGTGTGTCATTCATTATGATGTACCCTCGGTGTTCTATATACCTGGGTATTAATTTATACCGACTCGTACGTGCTGGAGCAATATTGGGGTGGAATAAACTTGTGTGGATGAGCTACTTGCTCTTTTAGATTGCAGCTGAGCAGTGGTGATATCGAGCTCATGTTGACACGGCTCACAGGGTTTGGGATATTGTTTTTCGCTCCACGAGATATCTACGACGCAGCTCATTTATTCAGGACATCAAGAAACTGAGCCCTGCTCTTGCAACAGTGACAATATGCCTCGATTCTTCAACATAACGAATATAAGTAAAGGCAAGTCTTTCTTTGAGTGTAGGTATTCGAAAGGGTCTGGGGGGTGAGCCTACGTTTAAAAGCATACCGTGCCTCATGCCGCCCATCCGGTCGTGTGTGAAGGAGTTCGAGAATCAACCAGATCTAGACAGCGCATCATATTCATTCCTGATCGTCACATCAGCTTCCTCCGTCGATGGACGGTCCCGAGGATCAGTAGACCAACATTGCTCGATAAACTGCCAGTGCTGTTCAGGGAGCTCAGCATAACGAAATCGGGAAGGCGTTTGTGACTTGGCTATGCAGAGTATGATGGCTGCACCATTCGAGAGGTGATAATATGGTACTTTGTTGGTGAGAACCTACGAGTGGAGCTCGTGATATCAATGAGAGGCCAAAATTAACCCAGACGTACCTGCAGCATGATATCGCCAAATGAATACATGTCGTTCTGCTCGCTCGGCCGAACTTGAGATCCATCCTCTTGCTCTACGAGCAGCTCAGGAGCCATCCATCGCATATTTCCTTTGAGTGTGGACGTCCAGGAAGCCTTGGAGGCGCTGATAACCTCCGAATACATCAAGGAAAGACCGAAGTCGGCAACACATGCAGTCCCATCACCACGGATCAACACGTTGGGCTAGAACTTACGTCTCAATTAAGTTAAAACTATCGAGAAGTGGAACTTACCCCAGTGAAGTCACCATGAATGACACTGTTAGCATGAACTGTGAGGAATATTACTACTTCAGGCTAGTACTGAGAATAACTGATGCGTACGATATTGCAGACCTGCTATGATATCCCTGAGCTGAGATTGCCATCAGTTTGTGGTCTGCACGAAATACAAAAGGGGACCTACGATCCAGAATCGTCTGACGAGATCAAGAGCCGCGCCTTCAAGCTCCAAATAGTCCGACAGGTTGCCATTCTCCGCCCAAGGACTGACTATCGCTAGGAATGGGCCGAAGCCATATGTATAGCCATAAACAGGTAGAATATTTGGATGCTTGAGGTTGGCGCATATTTTGAGTTCACGCATTATTCTCTACAAAGTAGCAACACATAAGGAAAGATGCAGTCATTCGTCAAGAAACTCACTTTGATCTTTTTCGTCTTCGCTGCGCCAGGTTGATCAGCAGCATAAACCAGCAATGCTTTCACCGCGACCTGCCCAATTATCAATTTCAGAATGATGGAAAAACAACACTGCAACCGAACTTTGGCTGGTCTGCGATTGATGTACAAGGTGCATTTCCAGATCTCCCCGAACCCGCCACGAGCAACAGGGTAATCTCCATTCTTTGCGATACATTTTGAGAGATCTTGGAATATTGTTTCAGAGATATCACTAGAGTCATCATTACGAATGGGGAGGACTGGGACGGTGTTGGAAGTCGAGGGAAGGAGCTCGCAGGGGTTGGGGGGTAAATGGGGTAGCTGTGAACCTACTGTAGAAGAGAGTATCTGCGGCGGAGGAAGAAGAGTAGGCCACTGCCACATGTCAGTAATGGCGGACCCTGCACGACAACGGGCGAAACTGACAGGGGAAGCTGGTAGAGAATGGGAAGGGAGGCTCCATTGTGCATTCGGTGGAGCCTCACTAGTGGATTGATTTGTGGCGAAAGAGAACGCGTCACACCGCAAAAACGGGATTAATTGGGTGGTATAAATGAATAAATGAAAGGGATGAGTACTTTATTGAAAGGAAGGTTTCTAAGAGCACTGATCTGCAAGAAAATGTTAACGCATAACAACAGTGGTATTCGGGGTTGGATGCACACTTAAACTTGTGGTACGGGCTGAATGCTAGCGAGGGCTTGAGGGAGAATGTTGCATAAGTAGATGTTGTTGTTGCGCCGGATGGTGTAAACTAGTTGGCACGAGTCGGGTGAGAGGATGAGGCAGTGAGGATACATAACATTGAATGAGGCGAGGAGTTGACGGGACTCGAATGCCCAAAGCTTAATGGTGTTGTCATCAGAAGCACTAGCGAGGAGAGCACAATCAAGTGAAAGTGCTAGACCGGTGATGATATGAGTGTGTCCTTCAAAGGGAGCTCTAACAGTCTCCAGCGTAGACGCGTCGAATTCATAGATCGTGTTTGGGGAGCTAGAGTGTTGAAAGCTGAATGCCGTTACGATGGTTTTGTCTTTGGTAGTCCAAAACACTGGTGTAAATGAGACATGAGCGCCACCAAATATCCCCACCTGAACATCCAGTTTTTGTGTTTGGACATCCCACACTTCAAGGTACTTTCCCCACCGCGATTTGACTGCAAGCTTCTTGGAGTCTTTCGAAAATCGGACTGCGCCAACCAAATAAATACACTGGAATGGGCCAGCCACGAGTTTGCCAGTTTCCAGGCTCCATATTCGCGCTGTTTTATCTTCTGCCCCGCTCGCCAGTAGCGTGCTGTCCCTGGAGATATCGATGCAGTTGATCTTCCGCGAGTGGCCTTCAAATGTTCTCACGATGGTCCCCGTCTCACAGACTTTGAGCTCCCCAGATCCGTCACCTCCACTTGCCGCAGTGACAACATATCAACCATCCCTTGATATCTCCACAGCATGTACATCCTGGTCATAAACATCCCGCGCTTCTTCAATTTCTTTTCCCGCTTCTAGGTCCCATTGACGAGTGGTCTTATCGCTCGACCCGCTGATCATTCGCTTCCCGTCTGGAAAGTAGGATATAGATGACATATAGTCTTTGTGACCCTCCAAGGTCAACACGGGTATCAGAGCCAACTTCTTTGCTGCCGCAGTGGGCTGTCGCAATCTGGAAATCATGTCCTGTTTCTCTGTCAGAGGTTGACAAGTACGTGTAAGGCTGTTGTTTGGAAGGATTCGAAAGACCGTTGGTGAGGCTTTCTCGTATCCTGTGGCCTGTCGTTAATAGTAATTTCGAAGGATACCCAACTACTGGCAGCTGATACACTTCGCCTGCCGAAGCTGTTCGTCAGTTCGTCAGCGCAGAAAGTTCAAACTGTTTTCATGTTACCTGGAGGCTCGTAAACACTCGATTGAATGTGTGCGTCTGGCAAACCCTTGCTAACACAACCCTTCGCACCTGTACGGCATTACACAGCTTTGACTTTTAACGTTACCGCTGCAACCCCGCTGTCTCCGTTTAATCATATCCATGGCCATTTCCGTTGCTGGGGTCCATCATCTGATCCCACCTAGCCTGACCTGCAGAGTGGCCAATGAGCACAAGTTAAGTGGCAATCGTGTGCGTCTTCTCGTTATGAGCTCAGAGCCTTAGCTCAACGCTCAACCATAATTGGACTATCCCGGACAAATGCCAGAGCCATGCTGCAGTTGACCGTTTAGTACGTGTCAGATAATCCGGTTCTAAAACAACTTCCACATACCCCTTGACAGAGTCTCACCAGTAACACAGAGTCCTTTACAAAATTTTACCAGTTCTTATTAGCTGGGGGTATTACAGTAGTTTGAATCGATGAGCATTTTGATGTTATTATGGGTCCTGCCATTGACTATGATACCACATATTTGACTACGCCTGTTGTGCTCTGTGAGTTTCTCTCGTGTCCTCAACTTCTCTGCTCACAACATCATGTCACGTAACGATGATCGAAGGCTCATGAAAAGCTTGCGAGTGTTTTTGAAAGCAAGTTCAGATATCTTGTCTTTCTGCTACGACTCATTCATAATCTGTTTCACGTCCTTCTGTGATCATATCTACGTACTGATGTCGCAGTTCCGATCCATTCACGCAGGCGGACATCTTTCGCCACTACCAAGGTCTGCGTCTTGTTCATCCGTCCCACCATCCATGCCCCTCCATTGTCCTCTGCTTGTGTCCTGCAGCCACCTCCTGTAGCTCTAGTCAACTCCCAGAGCCGGAGCTCTGCTGAGTTCCAGTTATACATATCCTCTGAGGTGATACGATATGATAAATCAATCCACAAGTCTTGTATTTGGCCTGAAATCTAGCATTGTGGTGATCACAGCAAGCTCGACATCAACAAGTACAAGGTTTCGATGGATTATGTTTCTAGAGTATGCTGTCGAGCGTCAATACTGGCAAGTCGACAGTGTGTGTATTCCACAGGCCGCTAAAAGGAAGGTGCACAGGTTATTATCGCGGACGTGTCGCCCTCGCCTTTCGATGATGATGAATATTCCAAAATTCTCGACTTGGTTGGCAGATTTCAAGGCAAGCAGAATATTCCTTCATCACGGCAGAAGCATTAGTGATTCTCGAAACTAAACAATAGAGAGAATAGGGGCGGCACCCCCCCATTCTGTCTCGTTTCCTCCAGGGTTTGATTTTTTTCAGCCAGGTTTTGGTATTTCAGTAAGTTGTTATTCCGTGATGCAACGTCTCTAGGCTTATTCCTTCAGTATTTACAGATTCCCAAGTACCGATCAGTCCGTTTACGTCCAGGAGCACAGGCATAAGCTGATCAGCTCTTTTATGGACATTCAACGCCACATTGTTTGGGACCCCATAGTAACATGTACATGAGCGAGCTCCGACGACGATGGGTCGACTGTGATATCGACTCTGGGTGCTGGGAGAAGTTTCAATGGTTGAGCATCGTGATGCATGTCATGATTCTTGCTATTCGATTTCGACCTTGGCTCAATCCTGTCAGCCAAACCCTGCTAGCCTTTTATGTATAGCGGTACCTTCCGTCAATATGATAGGAGTCACATCCAGTCCCGGTGATATGTTTCCATATTTCGCATTGGGTGGCGTCCTTGTTTTATTTGAACAGACCAAATCATCTTTATGAGCAGAGATCTGAACAGTACATCGGATCATGGCATCGGTGATCCAAAACTAAAGTTTTGCAGATAACTCCGCAGGACATGCGGCACGCACCCAGACACAGGCCGGGGATCTGCGCAGACTTGTACCCAGACCGGTAATTTCAGAGACGTCCTCGACTGTCCATGCCCTTCCGTGTGCTATGCTGTTGTGAGGGTGACTGTACATTGAGGGTCCTTCTTGGCTTATTGAAACCCGGTTCTCCTGCAACATGGTGTATTCCATACTTGCATTCTCTTGCCAGGTCTTCACATCCACGTCTACTATCACACTTACAACCACTGGGAGTGCTCGATCGAGCAGATGCGGCGTTGTGGCGTTGGTTTATACTATACGCAGCAAGGGACTTCCATGCTTTGACATGGCTAACATGCTGTCGCGGTTCGCGGTTCGGTGCTTGCAGAGTCAAATGTCGGATACGGTCGACTCGGCTCAGTCAACTTCTGATCGGTACTGGTAAATACTGGTAGGTAGTAGTAGCAGTAGCACACATAGGCTACAGCCTAAATTTCAGTTATGGTGTTGTGTACATCAATAGGGTAGTCCTGCCTAGTTCATTATACCCGGTCTTGCCATGAGGTCTGCAGTCGAATCACTGAATGACTATTTCATGAAGCAAACCGACAACTTGAAGGTTGTGATTAAGTTTAATTAAATAGAGTTACTGCCAGATGCCTCGGGTGTTTTATTTTGTGTGCCTCGTGTCCTCAACTTGTCTGCTAACAACACTATGTCGCGCAACTATGACAGCGGGCTCATACACCGCATGCGAGCGTTTCTGAAGGTGTTGTTCAGAAATCTCGCTTTCCCGCTGCGACTTGTACATCATCTATGTCGCACCCTTCTGCGGTTATACTACGATTCATGTAGCATCGCATCCAGGCGCCGATTCCAGTCCATTCATACAGACGGACACCCAGAGCGAGTTGCTGGCTCCAGCCAGCTTACAATGCTTCCTCCTCCGAGCAACCATCAGCTGCAGGTCTCATCATTGCCAGGGCCTGCTTCCTGTTCATCCGGCTCACTGTTGCCGACCCACGCCCCTCCGTCATTCTCTAATTGTGTGCTGCAGTCATCTTCTGCAGCTCCAGCCAACTCACAGAACCAGAGCTCCCCCGAGTTTGAGCCATTCGTGCCCTCCGATGTAATACGGTACGACAAAGTCCCATCAATGTGAGTTGTCGTTCCCCAACTTTCGACTGCAATCCAGTATTGATTTGATCACAGAAACCCCGACACCAACAAATACGAGTTTATTGATCCTCTAGAGAGAAATTTTTTAGAGTGAGTGCTGCCTTCTTTTTGATCGAAATAAGTAAAAATGGGGCGCAGTGCATATCAGCAAGTAGGTGGAAACTGGCGTGCCTGTATACACCCAGAAGGAGCGCTCTATTTTCATGACCCCACGCGCGTATGTCATTATTACCGAAATATGAAGAAGACTTGGACTCTTACTGCTAGTAACAGGGTATTTATACGGACTCGAACTTGCAGAGCGAAGGTCGCCGGTGCAAAATGGACTCATATGTGAATGAGGTACTCGCTCTTATGCCCCCTGGGTTAAAGCTGGATTGCGACAAGATCGAGCTTGTGGTGCAGTTGGTATGGAACCGGGGGACTGGAGTGGGAATTTGCAGATACTATTTGATTGACCACAACAAGCATCTACTTTTCTGGCTCCATAAGCTACCTACAGTAAAACTCTATTGTGGAGTTCAGGGCGTCGAAAAGCTGAGCCATATCAGTGCGCCCTCTACAGTGGATAATCGTCGTGTTTTGATGACTCGTGTTTCCAGAGTATGCTGTTGAACATCAGTACTGGCAAGTCTGTCATTGTGTGTATTGTGCTTTTATTTGTGAAATCCTCTCACGAAGTGACGGAATAGAAAACGCAAGATTAATGTAGGGTTAATCAGGTCCTTCCTAGGCAACACTGCGAGATGTATCCCAATGAAAATCTACCATGCCCTCAGTTGCTCAAGGAACTCAAAGAAGTTGTCGTACATGCTAGCGCTGGTGAGAATTTCTCTTTGACTCCACGCACGAGTCGCTGAAAGGAGTGTGCAGAGACCATAACGACAGACGTGTCGCTCTCGCCCTTTGACGGTGATGAATTATCGAAAATTCTGGACTTGATTGACCAACTTGGAGGCAAGCGAAAGGTTTCTTTAGTGGCATTGCTGATTCTCCAAATTAGAGAATGTTGGTGGCGCTTATTCTATCTGTGTCATTGGTAAGTATCATCATGTCCATATTGCCCCAGGAGGTGACTGTCTAGTAGCCAGGTTTATGCGGTATTTCAGTAAGTCGCGCGTTCCGCAATACATTCCCTCTAAGCTTCCTACCAGCCCGAGCTAAATTCTTCAACTTCTGTGGGCTCCCTTCTGCCCGTCTGGATGCGGACCAGACCGTTTACAAAAAGAAGAACCAGAACAAGCTCATCTTAGTTCTTTCATGGGCCTTCAATGCTGCAATGTTCGGGGCTCCGCAGTCACATATGGAAGAACTCCGACGAGTATGGGTCGACCGCAGTATCAATTCTCCGCGCTGGAAGCATTTTAACAGCAAGCTGAGTAGTGAATGGTCAAGCATCACAATATATGTGCGTGCCACGATTCTCGCTGTTCGGCTCTTTGTTTACTTAATCATGCCAGTCAACTGTGATGGTCGCCGTGGACGTCAGCTTTCTGGCCGTGCCTTCCGTCAGTCCCCAGGATTCAGGTTCGGTCACAATTATTAGCACTTATCTTTCCATTTTTTGCATCGTTGGATCGTTGGTCGTGTCCTTGTTTCTCACTAGACAGAGTCGGATGTATGGGCAGGAATCTGCCGACACAGCGGTGAGCAAAGAATGGCGCATCGATTGTCGCATATTCTTACAACAAAATGCTGCAGGTTCAATTCCTCAAGAAGATGACAGGGTCCGCATTCGGCACCAAAGCTGTAGCAACCGTACATAGTCTTCCGTATGCTATGCTGTTGTGGGGGTGAGTGCTTTGCTATTGTATTCTTCTTGGCTCACGGAAGTCACGTTATTCTGCAGCATGCTGTATTTCATGCTTGCGTTCTCTTACCAAGTCTTCACGTCTACGCCCACCTTGACGCTCGCGACCAGTGGGAGCGCATGCGGCCTTGTGGCGCTGTTTACGCTGTGGCTCATATACGCGGCGAGGGATTTCCATGTGTCGACACGATTGCTTGTGTGGCTCCGAGCTTCCATTTGCAAAGCAAGAAGTGAAACCCGGACACAGCCAGATACAGCCTGATACAGCTCAGTTAATTTCCAATTCGTGATTTGGTGTACTATTTATATGATGTGGAATTATATATAGATCCCGGCGTACAGGATGCTACGTGTCCAGTGTACGATGTTACGCGTTAGGTTTGAATCAGTGAGAAAATCATATATTCAGGCAGGCTCGGGCTCACAGGTCAGGACATTACAGTGCCAGTCAGCTCTGGCCTAGAATCAACAGCCGCCCAACATCATAGATCTCCCGTTCGATATCAAAGTTTGACGGCTATCGGAGTCTTATTGTGGAAAATGTTCATTTGAATACGTACCATTTCAGTCGATTGTGAGACTTGCAAGCTTCAGCATCGTGAGGCAGGCACACTATCCAGGATGCATAGCCTTATGTAGCCAAGGCTGCCAACTGGTATTTAATTTCGCACAATCTCCAGGTCTCAACTAATCCATATAGTCGCACGTGTCCACCCGATGCCATTACATACTTCGACATCGTTGTATTTGTGTCGAAGAACAATGAGCTTCATAAATCAGCCGCTAGCGGCTTTAAAGATTTAGGGGGAAATCTCTTTATGTGCATAATAAACGCGCGGAATTTGGGAAGGCGCAGCTGACATGCAAAAGCGTGTACTCGGAGGTGTTAAGGAGACCCAGACAGGCGGTTACGCAGTAGAATGTAACCTTGCAGCGAGAGTGGGGTGCTTTCGAAAATACTACCGTCGGCGGGCCCACGATATTACGTTGCTCAAACGCGCCCGAATAGTACCTTGGCCATTTCGTTCTCGAGGAAGTTTGCCCAGTAAATGTGCTGCGAGCCTGGACACGGCGCGGGCAATCTCGTGGGT